GACCTCCCTGGAATGTTCTATCAGTCTGCAACAAGTATACGCTCCTCTACTTACTTCATCACGGGATCCACCACCGAGAGATGCTATTGTCTGCATGTGTCAGAGAACAGTGAGTCAGTATGAGGTCCTCACTCATTTTACATGCATTTGCTGAAGAGACGGGGCATTAGTCTGTCTCCCAGTCACTGAACCGCATTATTTTCCCTACTGCCTAGCCCTCCCTGCAATAGTAAAGCCATAAATGAAGCAAGTCTAGATTTCCCCAGGTTCTTAATCTCCCATCTCACTGGGACTCCTTTTCAATGTAAATGTGTTTATTTGTAACTTTCAAAATTATATATATTCAGAGACTATAAGCGTTAGTCTAACGGGTCACGATGAACAGGTTTTTAACAAATTGAAGGAATAGTAGACATTTTGTAAATGAGTACCTACAATATCTCCTATTTTCGGGATATTGGCAAGGTAAGCCAGTTTCATAATGAAGTGGCCAATAGAGAAAACTCATTATGAAATTGACATGAAAGTGACAGAATGCTATATCTTATAGGGACAATGCAACAGTGATGTCTGAAATACACTGGGAGACAACCCAAAACAACAATACGTAGCCACAAATATCTGAATTTTCTATAATACTGTATCATAAGAATCGTCATCATGGGCGGATCCAGGAATTTTGAGTGTGTGTGTGTGTGTGTGTGCCCCCCTGAATCCCCCCCATTGGCTCCGCCAACGCAAAAAAAATCTTCAATGTGGTCTTAAGTCTTTTTGGGGGGTGGGGGTTGGGGGTGTTTCGAACCCCCTGAACCCCACCTCTGTATCCGCCAATGGTCATACAATTTGTTGTTTAACACTGCACTCAACACCATTCAAGCTAGCATGGCAGTTCCTAGTACAATTTATACAAGACAAATATACAAAGGAAAAACTGAATAAACGCCTCTACACAACTCACATACTAACCCGACAGAAGAACACATTCATACCTCAGAAATAGCAAGTATGGTAAAAGGTCAAATACATGTACATGTTGTTCTTTTCAACAAAGCAGCCACATGGGTACCAGAAAATGAAAGAGTAAATACTTCTAGTACATGTATACTACATACACAAGTAAGTGAAACACAACAATTCAAACTCCACGCTGCATGTTTTCAAAATGGCTGTCATGGCGGCCATGCTTAAAACTAGACTAGAACTCTGAGAATGTTTTCCCCCGGGACTGCATTGATGTAATCACCCGGCAAAGTTTCAGCTTCATTGGCTTTTACGGGGAATGTGGAAAATGGAAAGCTTATAGCGGTGTGAATTAAGTAGTGTCAGAGTTTTCATACCAACCTAACTAAAACATAACCAGGAACACACAAAATCTGCATCCAAGAGCTAGTATCATGGTCAAATACAAAAAAAAGGACTTTTTGATCATGTCCAGTTTCACCTGCACTGTCTGTGAGATTTCGACTTGGCTTCCTTATGAGATCATGTACGCATTTTGGAATTTGACAGCCTATAATGACATAAACAATTATGTTAGAGTGGGTTACAGCAGGAAACACTGGTGACTTAACATGAAACATGTGTTCAATCGTTTCAAAGTAAAGGAAATAGACATTGATGTGAAAACTAAAATGTGTGAACGAGGGCCCATTTCACCCTTTTCAAAAGGAGTCAGCCGCTGTTGTCCGCCTGGAGTATGTAGACGTGTGGTATGTTGAGCTCAGTTCAAATACAAGGATGAACAAACACAAATGACATCAGCTCATAATGTGTCATCCCTGAGGCCTTTTTTACGTTGAGCCAAAAGAAACAAAATACTTGACGGTATTGGGTTGACTTGGGCATAACATCTGCAGAATCAGGAAATGCGTTTCCACCAGAGTGATGTCCCTTTACTATTACAATAACACTGAACCCCATTCTTTCTGCACCTTGCCAAGAAACATCGGCAGTAGTTTAGCTTGGTATTTTTCAATCTTGGTGTTGCAACACAATCGGAATGGGTATCATATTTACACATACATCAGACACACGCACACACACTGACTGTATCAGTTGTTTATTCCCTCTCAAACTTACATCATGACCCGTCCCCACCCCTTAATAAATGACCACTCCCTAAACAAGCATCAACTATACTTTTTTAACGAGTGCCATTGTTCATGGCCCTTCTTAATATAAACCCCTACATCCCCGTTATTTTCGACAAAAACGAGCTTTTTCAACATCAAATGATAATCCAAACTCCCTTAAAAGCACCACATATCCAAGAAGATGTGCTGATGCTGTTTTAAGTCGAGGAATTGAAATAATGAGATGCGTAAATAATACATGCTACATGTGCCATTAAGTGGGGTGTACGGAGTGTAATTGGCTTGTAACACTGCGCCACAAAAGATCGCGATATTACACAAATGTTCTGCTCAGCATATCCTACTAATGACGCATATCTACAAGTTCGCGGCTGAAAAGGTTTGTGACAATTAATCAGAATGTCAACTAAGATGTGGACAAGCAAGTGACGTGTTACACAAGGCTGTGACTAGCCAGATTCTTTAACAAGTATTGATATCGTTTCAGTTACAAGACCGATCTAGCTCATTACGAAGGAATACCTTCACAAGTAGGAACTTGAAATGCATTTTATGACGTTATCACACTGGCGAAACCTGTATGCTTGACATAATTACTGCTTTTACTTGTTTGCCATGTGTCATCGAATACATTCTTGTATTTACCTGTATGGGTGACTGTCCGCAAACCAGTTTATTTCAAGTTTAAACTAATCTGATACTATAGCCTTTATATCTATCATGCTCCACAATTGTATATTCTTTATCTTTCAGTGATACAGAACTGCTTTTCACAATAAGTGAAGTATACACTTGCGATCACCTTTAAAGTTAGTGTAACATAAATATAAAACAAGGTTTGTGACTGATGTTGAAGTTATGATGTAATGACCAGTTATCTAATTAAAAATTTCAGATATACAGCAGACTGACAAAATGTGGAATAACTTTAACCCCCATCATGTATTGGAATGATGCAATGGAGTGTTTTAGGTTGAGATTACCCAGGTACAGAGAAAAACATCTGTTCACCTGAGACATCAAATAGATCTGTAACCATCAATATCTTATTGGCATTACTGAGTTTGAATCAACACACATTTGGAAGTGATGAAACAAGAAATCCAGCACTACATCCTTTCACTAGTTCCACAGGGCATTAATCTGTTGAATACAGCAACAGTGCCCAAGTCCATCAGCATGGGTGCTATGAAAGCAAATAAGTCTAAAAGAGTTATTTCCCTTGTTAATAGTCTACTCTTTTTGCATAACAGGACATGCTCCCCTTTCCTCTATTTCACCTGTCACATAAAGTTGTCAGCCAAGTTCAGGTGGTGAAATGGGGTTTAACAAAAGAACATTTCGCTCATATGTGTGGCTGCTTGTACAAGCCCGGACTTGGGCTGGTTACATAATGGTACCTCACTGAGATACCATGCCACAATTAAACATGAATACCCGTCTCTGACACATACTGACCCCGTCATTGTTGTGCCTATTAATTCCAAGCGCCAGGCAGGGACCTCAGGCAATTTAAACTGGACGCACAGACTTGTGTGGATACATTCACCTAGAATTCAGTTGACACCACCTTTTGTTGTGACATGTGCATGCCCATCCAAACAGTTGATTTGTGTTGTATGGGTGAGAGAGCTAGCAAGTTTATTTTTTTATAGTAGTTTTACACTGCATTCAGCAATATTCCAGCTATATGGTTTGTAAATCATCGAGTCTGGACCAGACAATCCAGTGATCAACAGCATGAGCATCAATCTACACAACTGGGATGCAATGACATGTGTCAGCCAAGTCAGGGAGCCTGACTACCCCATTCAGTTAGTTGTCTCTTACAAGCATGGGTTACTGTAGATCAATTCTAACCCGGATTGTCATTGGTGTGTTGGATGGTGAGGTGAAATGGGGCAACGTCGCACTCAAGATTATTTCGCTCATGTGACGATGTGCCCAGACTTAAGTTGGCTTTATAGAGCTAGCTCACCGAGATACCATGCCACAGCTAAGCATGAATACCCAACTCAGACACATTATACTGACTCCGAACCGACCAGTTGTACCCATTAATTCCGAAAGCCAGGCAGGGACCAACAAGTACCATATTTTTGTGTTGGATGGGATTCAGGTAGACCATACCTCTTCAGTGAAACAAACACACATTGGTATCAAGATGATAAAAGAGCCAGGTTCCACAAAACAATATTGGCACTAAATAAAATTGCTAAGTGCAACACATTCTCTTCCCACAGAGGTTACTCCTGTCATATCTTCCTACATAACCTCTGTTCTAATACGGGGCCCTTTCATGGTGTGAGCGTTCAAGACTCGTGATTGGAGGCAATCAGATTTAGTTGTGCAATCAGCGACGTTGTTTCAAAAGTGACCATTCGCAAGGCCTCGGTAATTTCCGTATGCTTCGAGAAAACTAAACCTCTTCCCCTGCGCGATGCGCAAACGTTTCTTCTAGACAGAACTCAGTCATGTTATGGCGGATCAGTGGCATCTCCATCGCCCTCGTTGACAACGGACAAGCTAGCCATTAAACGTCTTGTGTGTAACATCAACACAAGTCCCCGGCAGATGGGGGATATTTGTGGCCCCACATTTGCTTGTGTTAGTCAAGTTGAATCTAAGTCGATGTAACACGTGTTCTGATTGGATAGAAAGAAGGAGATAATTCGTGTTGCGATCTTTTGCCGCTAGGGGATTTTACGAGAACCGGGAAATATGGCCGTATTAGAACAGAGGTTACGTAGGAAGATATGACAGGAGTAACCTCTGTGGGAAGAGAATGAGTGCAACAGGGCCCATAATCAGAACGCATCTCAGCTTAAAACACAACATGATGGTCCCAGCACAGCAATCACACCCTCTCTACAACTGAACTTGAGTAAGCAATTAGTAAACAGACAATCTTTTTTCATATTTTTTTTTTATTTCCCCTTCATATCTTATAGGTCATTTACTTCTTGGCCTTAGCATCTTTGCTGGTAGATTCGCTTTTGCTTTCACTCCTGCTCTTTGAGTTTGAGGATCTCCTCCTCTTACGCTCCTTGGCCTCCTTCATTCTCTGAGCCAAAAGTTTAGCATACTCTGCAGCATCCTCGCGTTTCTTAGCGTTCCTCCTCTTCTTGAGTGCCATGCGATGTCTCTTGTGCTGCAGCACCAGTGGGGTGACCAAACGCTGGATCTTAGGAGCCTTTGTCTTGGCCTTCTTGCCTGGTAACAGTAATATACCAGGTAGTTAGATCAAAGCTCTTCAAATAAAGACACCTAACACTACTGACCACTGGCCTACAGTATGAGTGACTAGAAAGTCTTACAGGTTACAATGAAGTAACAAATCATGCACAATAAGCACAAAACAAGACACTTTTATCAAACAAGCTTAGGTCTCCTAAAACACTGGGCGCTCAGTCCAATAGACTTATCAGACATCTTACAGAAGTGTGTCAGAAAAGACGAGAAAACTACTGATCATGTGTAAGCAGTGATGTCAACAGGATATGACCTACTGTAACTACTGTAACCCTGTTGTGCTCTACCATTTTGGATGCCGAGGTAATCTGAATATCTCCAAGAGTCCCATGATGCAAGGTGTTCTATTCTTACTGCTTTGACTATTTTTGCAAGGGCAGCTTGTCTTCTCAGTTGCACATCAATCACAGTGCGTTCAAATGCTTCGTTTACCAATGACAGTTGTGACATGCATGCACAAAAATAGTACACAGGTAATAAAAAAAGGAGAACCAACCTTCTTTCTCTGGCAGAGGTCTTCGGATGACATATTGTCTCACATCATCTTCCTTGGACAGATTGAACAGCTTCCTGATCTTGCTGGCTCTCTTGGGTCCAAGACGACGGGGAATGGTCTTGTCAGTAAGGCCAGGGATATCTTTGTCACCTGTGCACAGAAAATTAAAACCCTTAAACATGAACACTGAATACTTAACCATTTGCCAACACTGATGGCACAGGTTCTGAAATGTTGCATGTACTGGCAGGGATCGAAATAGTGCTCAATTTGTATGCCATGACAGAGTAAATATTGAAATGGCATGGTAAATATTGAAATGGCACAGACAAAAAGTTTCGATTTACGCTGCCTACACAACTAAAACTGTAACGTCTTTAAACTAATCACGATTAATAGTGTGATAAATCAAATGATTCAAAACCTGTTTTTGCATCCCATTAAACTGTTTACTACTCTCAATCTCACAGCTTACAATGGACATGGCAATTTTGAATCCCAGTGCCCATAACTGGAAATCCTGTTTAGGATAAGTTTGTGGTTAGTTTATGGGTCCGGGACAAATGAAGCTGAACTATTCTTACAGTCAATGATAGTGTCCAGGAAATCCAGCTCTCATATTTGCAGGTTTGCATGACATTTGTTTAACTGGATCGTCAAATCACTTATTTTCACAAAGGCACACTGAAATTATCTACCTGGCACCCTTCGAAACAATTGCATTTCTATCCCCAACTGGTGTACCTGTATCTGCATGGTCAACAAGATGTGAATACAAGTGATCTCTGACACATAAGTACTGATATTTCTTGGAAGTGGGGTAAGGGAAGCATCTAATACAACAGTGGAAGTCAGTTCTTCAACCACTTCTTTTTCACATAACAATACAAGGTTCCTTACCCTTCTTGATGATGATCATGGAGAGAACAGAGAGCTGTCCATCAACGATGCATCCACGGACAGATTTCCTCTTGCGCTCACCATTCCTCCTTGGTCGGAAGCAGGAATGGCCTTTGGATAGCAGCAATCGCACACGACCATTTGTCAGGACACCCTGTTTCATGGGGAAACCCTGCTTGTCATTGCCACCTGTGATGCGAAGGAGGTATCCCTGGAACAAACAGATCAATAAGATATTGTGTAACTTCAGATGTCACTTAACTTATTCCACTGCTTTGATGTAAACCTACAATACGGATTTAAATGGTCTGGGAACATTTAAAAAAGGTTGTTCATACACAAATTTCCAATAAAAAATATTCTAATGATAAATAAACACTACAATGGTTACCTTCCACTCATCACCCAGGTTTTCTGCAGTCACTTCAGCTGACATACGCTTGTCATAGAAGGGCCGAAGTTTCTTTTCATCGTCAACTTCGATCAGTTTTTGACAGCCAGTGGCTGGATAAGCTATGTTCAGCTGAAAAGATGAAATGGAAACAAGTTAGAATTGACAAAAAAAATAATAGTTTACAAGCATCAGAAATGATGAACAGGTTTAAGCTGTCCACAATGCTCTACTCCAGATTCCCCTGCTGCACACAGCCTTCTTGTGTTCCTGGAGCCCAATACATCAACTTGGGATGATATGGTGTTGTGAGGATGGAATGTAACTGATTACGCCCTGATGACATGAAAATTGCTTATTATGTGTCACAAATATTTGAAGTGGTGATTGATTCAACAGTGTCATCAAATTCATACATGAACCCTGGCAAACATTTCATGTTTTACAATGTTTCCTCTCTCAAAAGTGACTTGGTCTATATACTAATGTTCACACAGTATCCAAAGAATAATTTTTTATCAGCGAAAAAAGTCATTGCCCTTCATCAGTTCAATCAAACCACTATGCAAATCGATTTCTCAATGTACAGACTCTTCAGTAACTCATGCTTGACGTAAGAAGCATCGAACAGGTTCAGGTGGTCAGGCTTGCTGACTTGGTTGACACGTCATTGTGTCCCAATTGCATAGAACAATGCTCATGCTGTTTATCACTGGATTTTCTAGTCCAGACTCGCTTATTTACAAACTGCCGCCATGTAGCTGGAATGCCCAGATTAGCTCAAGACTAAACTCATCCACTCACTCCCCACATTATCGTTTCATTTACTTTTGCAAGAAGATACATGAAACTTGTTGCATCTCTCCAGTAAATGTACCAGTGTTGTAAATTTTGTATGTTCAAAGGGACCAATGCCCCTAGTCTTGAGCAACAATATTCATGTAATTGTTTACACAAGTATCATACTTTAAATCATAACTAGAATATATATTTGTAAACAATAAACAGAATTGCATATAAAAAAGAAGAAAGATTCATGTTGTTACCTATTCTAAGTTGGGTTTTTTAAAACCAAATCATAGAAACAAGTTCAGCATCCCATATTAAAGATTCTGAATGGGAAACATCAGGAGCAATCTTAACTTAGTCAATTTTTAACTTGTACTTTGCTGTATGCTATCCACACTTGGTTTAACGACACATTGTTTGTACAGAAATGTTGTGAACAATATTTTCCCATGAATTTGTGTACAGATGCCTAAACCCAGACTTTTTGTGGACCAGTTATCACAAAAAGACCAATATTACAAGCTTGGGTTGCTACCGTTGCTGATCTCCAGTGGACTGATGATGATAACTGGTAGCTCCGTTACTCTACAGCAATGTTCCATTATCACTGTTTTGATAGCCTCTGATCAAGAAATAACCACTAAACCAGTAAAATGTCCAGTACAATCTTTATTGTGCTTCTACAATCTGATCTTAATTATCATAAAGCAAACATTTAGGCCATGTTCATGATTTTGGGGAGATGAGGTGAAATTGGGTTTAACGTCGTGCTTGAGAATATTTCGCTCATATGACGTGCATGCATGGGTGTGTATGTGCATGTGCGGCTGCTTGTACTAGCCCAGACTTAAGCTGGGTTTATAGTGCTAGCCCACTGAGATATATACGGACTGAAAGATCCCTTCTCAAGGAAATCATCGAAGACAGTTGTGAACAAAGACAGCCTTAACCTCTACCCCAAAAGCTAGTATTAGTAGTAACGTTCAACACTGCACTGATCCTGAGAATGACCATAGGGTGGGTTGAAGCAAAGGATTGAGAGAATATTGTCATTCGTACCTACATATGTATACATAAACATAAAATACATATACTATAGTACTATTCAGCGTCTTCTCTTGCAAAATTAAAATTCTTCAGGATAACATACATGGACCAATGTCGATGTAAATAAGGGCCCATGCATGTGTCAGTGGAGAAGCTATTTACAATCTAAAGACATCAAGTGCATACTTCTAACAGTATTTAGCTATTTTGAATTCTATCCCACAACATAATGCCTTGTCATTCGATTGTGCGGTTTATTTTAAACATTTTGATGCAATAACACCGCGTTTTGTCAATGTATGTGTACCTTCATCCTCAGATGTAACGACCAATCTCGATGGCCGACCGGAAAAAGAAAGTTGCACCGGAAGTTTCGATATAATCTCTACTCACGCTTTCGGTATTTTGTACAGTTTTGTTTCACTTCAATCACTGTAGGTTTTCAAACTAGGCTAAATTCAACTAAAAGACATTAATATTTGATTTTGAGAAACAATGGGAAACATTCGGAATGCACAATCAAATGTGAAGGAAATACAACATCAATCACTATGAGATTGAGATTATTCATGATGGTGGCGGGAAGTTTGGGGAGGATTCAGTGAGAGTGTCTCGTCAGCGATATGTGTTTCGCAATATGACAGTTGGTCATGTCACAGCATGAAACCTACATTAAACGTAATAGAAAACACAACTCAACTATTCTGCCATAATATAAAGGCCAGCTACAAAGATTTACGAATTAATTTCCACCCGTCACTGCTTGCCAGGAATAATTGTTGAGCTGTAGGCTTTATGTACGCTCGGTACAGAACGTCCGAAAGGTAAACAAAACATTTACTGCTTGATTACAGCCAACTCTAAGTATTGACAACACCTTATGCTTATACTTTATGATGGTTCTCAGCTTATGATCTTGCAATGACCTTACTTTAGGCAATTGATCTCTGCACCATGTCACAGATGACGACATTGGTCTTACACAGTATCAGTTATGTGTATGTCGGACATATCTGTCTTCATGCAGATCCTTAATAGCTTTGTGAATTTTATCACAAAAATGATGTTTAATGTCATAGACATGGGTGTGAGATTGATTGTAGACCATGCCTAGTATTGCTTAATGTTTAGACTCAACAAAATGGGACTTAAAAAGAATAATGGCAGAAGGAAAGCATGAGTTCAGTCTGTTTTGATCCTATCATAGTATCAAGGGAAGAGTTCATGATTCAGCTGCCTGTTTTAGTTACTGGTTTTAACCAAGGATGGAATTTAGCAAAATTACTTGATGAACTAATAAATTGAAGTAGAATGTATTCAAATTAAAAATGAAAGAACACACAGAATGACATGAGTGCTGTATTGTTACAGATGTAAGACACTGATGTAAGCTGAAGATGGATCAGTACATAGAAGATTCTGAGCACAGCAATGAGGACCAGCCATCCAACTTCCTAGTGCTAGCTTCCCAGTCTGAGACCCAGTACTCACAGTGGGACCAACAGCACATGCTGCAGTCTCTCCCTGCCCTCAAGTCCTCACAGGTAACTAGGGCTCACAAACTGACTTTAATATTTAAAGAATTGGCTTCACTGTGAAGCTCCGGGTTAGAATTGATCTTCAGTAATTCATGCTTGTCGTAAGAGGCGACTAACGAAATCGGGTGGTCTGGCTCGCTGACTTGGTTGACACATGTCATCTTATCCCAATTGCGTAAAACAATGCTCATGCTGTTGATCACTGGATTGTTTGATCCATACTCAATTATTTACAGACCGCCGCCATATAGCTGGAATATTGCTGAGTGCAGCGTAAACTAAACCCATGCACTCACTCACTTGCAAATACTGTTGTTTGGCAGAAATATTGATTTTTCCCTTTGGAAATTGTGTCAGTATGTCACACATGAACTGTTGTGAAGCGATAAAATTGTACTTTACCGAAAGAGACATATGCCAAAGATGGAATGTAATATGTTGATTTTGTTTTATGGAATGAATTCACCATTTCTGAGTTGTTTGTAATCCATGCAGAAATGTGTCATCACTCACCAGTGATGCGAAATATGTTGATTTCTCTCAGACTTTTTTGTATTCAGTCTCAAAGTTACTTGTCTGCTATTTATAGATTAGCAATGTAGTTACATTGCCAGAACTGTTGACCAAACATGCTTAATTGTCTCAGTACTAACATATTAACAAGACAACTAGTACAAGAGTCATGGGTTCCACAGGGCTGCGAGCGTTATTATCACATGTTTATATTACAAAATCTCTTCCATGTCTGTCCTTTCTTTAAGTTAAAGGTTAAGAAAATAAGGAGGTACACATTTCATTTTGCCACATATGGTCAGACGAACCGTAGTTCACTTTACTGGTCCTCACACTCTAGTGATCTATTAACTCAGCGATGTAGCTGCAGTTTTGCTGATTGTTTTGAAACATCCCCCAGTCACACATTCAGTCATCTGCTGCAAGTTTTTGAATAGTGTTGATGCAAAGTATGTTTAATCTGATAAAGGATGACAGTAACAGCTGTAAACATGATTACTTGCAGACACCTGACAAAGGAAAGACAGAGAGTTTACTTGAACAAGCTTCAAAATCTGAGGATGAAAAACAGAAACAGCCTGGTAAGAATTTATCATAATAAATCCAACAAACAGATTCTCAAGTTATTAATGATTCTGGAAGCTCTGAGAATTTCTTGTTTGCTTTAACGTAGATATGTCTCCAAGTCTTGTGACCAAGTTCTCCTAGTCGCAGCAACCATGGTAATTATAGCATGTTTGGGGACCAGAATTGGTTGCTCTCATGTCACTGCAATTTTGTTGATGATAGCTTAAATCCTCATTCTCTCGCTTACTTAAATATTGTCATCTTTCAAACACAATCTTGAAATTTGACTGTTTGACAAATCCTGTTAGAAATTATTGGCTAATGTCTGCCTACTTGCAGCGTCTGTGCTGGTAGCTGCCACAGAGAGTGAAATGTCTCAGCATGAAGACGTTGACCACACTGACATCGACAGAGTGGAGGACAGCCACAGGTTTGAAGAGAAGAACATGTGCTCTGTTTCTATTAAAGGATAGTACAAAATCTAAAGTCTGTTTCAGGAAAGCATCCAGAGTAAAACTTATAAGGGGTGCACTTACAATCAGTTTCATTGCTGGTATACCCACAATTGATGATTGCTTCATTACCAACGAACAATCATCGAAAACAATTGGTTAGCGTCATTTTTCAGATTTTCCTATCCAGGGTGTTATTGCAGATATGTATAACATGAATGCAACTTGCTACTTTAAAGTAATGACTAATATATCATGAACATAAACTTCCTTGAGTCTTAGAGAAATATTCAGTCATGGCTTTTCAGTTAGTGAAGTGAGTTTTCTAAGAATTAAACACGTTTTCAGGCACTGACAACTTCTAAGATATGTTCCATTGTCAAGTTTTTCAAAGACTTAAACAGTAGTTCCAAAATCGTTTATGTTCGATTATGCGAAAATGTGATCGATTGCTTCGTCGTTTGGTCACTGCGACCAATCTTCGATTATTTCAATTAATCGTAACACCACTAATACCCAGGGGTGGAAATAACTGTATAATTGCTTGTGTACTACGGTACAGTGGCACATGTAAAATCACTTGCCCTGATAATGTTTCCACTATACAGGAAGATTTTCTTGTTGATTTTTCACATAAGCAACATGATGAACATTGGAAAGTCAACTGGACACTGGTACAGCGTGATAGACAAATTTGCATGCCCGACAGAAAAAAACACAAGACTGGGACGTTGGGCAATGGGTTATTTTCACCCCTGTATACCTTGTGGTAATATTAGTACCTTGATGGACCATTATTCTACATGACTGTTTCAGTGAGGATGAGTCTGACAGTGCAGGTGATGTGACTGTGGTGAAGAAAGGGGAAGACAATATTGAAGGTGAAAGAACATTTCTGTTCAACTGATCCTTTGTACATCTGTGTAATACAGCGGGATATAGCAATCAGCCAGTTTCCACATTAAGTTTCTAGAGCTGAACTCCAAACCTGTTAAATATTACAGGAAGAAACTTGCTATACAGCTCATTCTGGTGGTGAACTGATACCTTTTGATGATTCTGGGTATTGAAACACTGAACAGCTTCATTTTCTTCTTCAACTCATGAAGGGCCGGGTTAGAATTTTGATCTTCAACCCATGCTTGTTGTAAGAGGCGACTAACGGGATAGGGTGGTCAGGCTCGCTGACTTGGTTGACACATGTCATTGGTTCCCAATTGCTCAGATCGATGCTCACTGGATTGTGTGGTCCAGACTCGATTATTTACACTCGCTAAACTCACTCACTGTTTTCTTCTTCACTAAGGCATCTAATGCAAGTTCTTTTTTCATAGAGATAATCCTTGGGGTACATATTATGCTTTTTCCGAGATGAAAATGTCCTGTGACAGTTGTATCAATGTTTTTGAATAAAAATATTGTACAATAAATAAAATCTTTTATTTATTATACGGCCCCCACCTCGTGGAGTTACCTCCCGTTACGCATGCGCACCAACTGGGTAAGCACCTAGGCCCGTATCATCATTCCTTCTGCTGTCACTGCCTTGTAAAGACGCATGTGTCGAGCAGAGCTGTACTCTTGTGAACTTAAGAGAATAATGTCTGAGACGCCACCACCTGTATGTATGGTCTTTATTTTGTCCTTGTAAGGAACAGTAAAGCTTTGCGGTCGGTTGTTTCATAATTGTGACTTTGTATTAATTATTTGACGCTAGCACTTTCCCGTGGTTTACGCACGTGTTGCTATTCCATGGCGGGAAGTTTAGCGTGCCACGTGGTTGTAATATTGCGTTTGAACCAACTGTTTCTTCCCGTGGTCGCCTTCACGTATTTTTCAATGTTTTCTACGTGTATCTTAGGCTGCTGGTCCGCTGTTAGCTACATGCTTGCGTGTTTGCTTTCAGGCGTTTTCTTCATGTTCGGTCTGCAGGCAAAGTATCCCCCAGGCCGACCGCCATGATAAGTGTATTGTGTGCCTTGAGAAAACCGTCCATACCCCGGACACTTGCGATATCTGTATGGGTTTCTCCCCCCGGGCCCAGAAGAGACGGGCGGCCGACTTCCTATTCTATAGGGAGATGCGTGAGGCGGGAGGGGAATTCTCCTGATTACTCAGTTATTCCAGCAGCACATGGACTCGGTGAAGTCCCTTGTTCACGAAGTCGGGTTGGAGGTCTCCGCCAGGAGTTCCTCGCCCACTCGAGCAGGGGATGGAGAGTCAGGGGGTGGGATCGCCGGCTCGATCCCCTCGCCTGGAGGCATCTGTCGATCCGATCATCATTCCTTCTGCTGTCTGCCTTGTAAAGGCATCTGTCTCTGTGAACTTAAGAGAATAATGTCTGAGACGCCACCACCTGTATGTATGGTCTTTATTTTGTCCTTGTAAGAGAACAGTAAAGCTTTGGCGGTCGGTTGTTTCATAATTGTGACTTTGTATTAATTATTTGACGCCAGCACTTTCCGCGGGTTTGACGCATCGTGCCAAGCTATTCCATGGCGGGAAGTTTAGCGTGCCACGTGGATTGTAATATTGCGCTTGAACCAACTATTTCTTCCGTGGTCGCCTAATACGTATTTTTCAATGTTTTCACGTGTATATCTTAGGCTGCTGGTCCGCTGTTAGCTACATGCTTGCCGTGTTTGCTTTCAAGCGTTTTCTTCATGTTCGGTCTGCAGGCAAGTATCCCCAGGCCGACCGCCATGATAAGTGTATTGTGTGCCTTTGAGAAACCGTCCCATACCCCCGGACACTTGCGATATCTGTAGCGGGTTTCTCCCCGGCCCAGAAGAGACGGGCGGCCGCACTTCCTATTCTATAGGGAGATGCGTGGCGGGAGGGGGAATTGACCCAGGTCCCCCGTCCAAAGCAAAAAGCCTGCAAAGTAAAAGCAGGCAGAAAGTCGGCGCGGTCAGTCGCCTTCCACTGCTCCTAGTAGTGGATTTGATATGTCTCTGATTACTCAGTTATTCCAGCAGCACATGGACTCGGTGAAGTCCCTTGTTCACGAAGTCGGGTTGGAGGTCTCCGCCAGGAGTTCCTCGCCCACCGAGCAGGGGATGGAGAGTCTGGGGTGGGATCGCCGAGCCGGCTCGACCCTCGAGCCTGGAGGCATCTGGCTCATCCGCTGCCTCTGGCGCCGGGTCCGACGCCTCGGCTGCTGCCCGGAGGGGGAGGCCCCCCAGTCCCCTCTCGAGTTGGCGCGAGGGTCCATTGAGGATTTCTGGGTTCCGTCCTCCCTCGTCCGCCGCCCATGAGAGCGGTGAGGCACCAGTTCTGCCTGGTCTGCCTCCAGCCGCCTCGACCGGGTTCGTCGCGTGATGGCAGGTGCTGACGCGGCTCTGCCTGTTCTTCCCTCTCCTCTGTGACTGGTGCTAGGCGCCCACCGGGTCGGGTTCGGGTCCTTTCAGCGAGGAGAGACTCCAGCCTCGACTCGGCTCGGGAGACGGAAGTCCACATGGTAAATGATTGTTCTTTGCACGCCCAGGACCTAATCCCTTGTTAATTGAGTGAGTCAAGGCAGTTAAGAGTCACCAATTAACAAGGCCTACTGCCTTGTTAAATTAATGAGTGAGTGAAGTCAGTTTAGACAGCCTCTGGAAGGGAAAACCAAGTTGCAAGTTTTTATGCCTCTTAAAGAAGCCTCTGGAAGTAAGTTATATCTTTGATGGCCATTTAGAAGTGGAATGCATACAAAGCAAGACTTATGGATGTCAACTTCCTTACTGTGACCTGATTTTCACCTGATGAAGGAGCAAGCATATGCTCCAAACATCGTGTTATTCACAATAAAGAAGTTGACATCAATAAATCTTGCTTTTCTTATTAAAAATGGTAAGTTATTAAAATCCACTGAGCTGTAGGTTTGTTAATCATGTCACCGATGTGATTATCGCTCTAACACACCTGAGAGATTAGTTAACAGTGTTGTATGCATGCACAGGCGGTGAAAGTTGTATTGTATTGAATTTGGTTGGTTGCATATTGTTTTGTGTTATGCTGTCAGTTTGTATGTATGTGTGAATGAGGAACCTCACACAATATGACATTGAAAACAGACTAAACTTAACATTATTCCATGGTCAATATTGCAATGTTAGTGAAATGGTAGTATACGGAAGTTTGTTTCACATTTTTGATAATACCTTCTTTTATGCAGATAAAATTATTAAAAAATGAAGGAATAATGCCATGCTTCTCTCAGAGTAAGAGAAGATAATTTATATAGTGATTTTTATCAAATTAGATATTTCTTTATCGTCCGAACGGAATTCACAAATTACGGATGTTTTGTGTGGGTTTGTGTGCATGCACTCGTGTATAACATCTAACTTCATAGGTATTAAAATCAAGCCGTATGTAACCATAATGACTATATTGGTTGGAACACTTGAGGAACAAAAATAATTTCTTGCTTCAAAAGGAACTGGAACAGTAACATTTTTCATGTTATCATATGAGCTTCAAAACATTGAATGAAATAAATGCTGTATGATGAAATGGATCAGAGAACATTATAATGGCATAAATGACGTGTTAATGACACATTTAATGGTAAAAATATATAATCACTATGGTAGTTAACTCATGACCAGACATGTCAAACTGGTACCGAAAGATTTATATCTCATATGTAAAAATTCAGTATTTCTTAGTACCTGAAATAGAAAACACGAATTTGGATGAGATGTTTTAATCTGAGATCAATCTGTTAGGTAGCAGTTTACTAAAGTAGAACTTAAATCAACTTCAAAAGATTGGTCATTCGCCAAGTGAAGCAGATCTCACTTATACTGCAGTAAACAGTATGGGGATACACAACGAACATACCACTTACGTGATAACAACTCCCTGTTTATTGCATAGAACGGCATTCCGATGTACATCGTTCAGAATAAACAAACTGATTGAATGTTGATTGATTCCATCACTTTGATAATGGAGTGGATTTCGACTTGTTGATCTTACTCTCCTGTTGACCCCAACGATGTGCTACTTGCTGAATTACCTGTTGTTGTTAATTTGCTGCTTGTCACTATGCATATATACTTCTATTCATCTGGTTGTAGTAACTTTTATCCAGATAATGGCGTGAGAATATACATGGAAACTCCCCTCTATCGACCTTTGGTCCAAACGGATGAGTTAAGAAAAAAGGTCGATGTCCCGTCCTTTAGCCATTTCACATTGGATTATAGAGACAATGATGGGCCTACGTGTTGATAGAAGAGGATATTCCGGATTATGCTAATGAGAGCACACCTAATGAGAAAAACGAGCCAAATATATGTATAAAGATAGTGTTTTATTTCACAGAACTTTTCGTTCCCGCCGCTCACACGTAGATAAATTACAGTCGTTAATAATAACCTTCATTAATCGGACAATACCAATGATGTAATTGTGTGTTACGTCAATTATGAAAAAGACAATTTATTATCTACCCTTGTCATAACAGAGTTCTCTCCCTTTCCGGGTACTCGATTCCTAGAAATAGGACTCGATTCCAGGTGTACCCGACCCGGATTCGAGTACCCGAGTACCCGTCCCAGCCCTAGAGGGGAACTGACCCAGGTCCCCCCGTCCAAAGCAAAAATGCCTAAAAGTAAAGGCAGAAAGTCGCGCAGTCAGTCGCCTTCCACTGCTCCTAGTAGCGGATTTGATATGTCTCTGATTACTCAGTTATTCCAGCAGCACATGGACTCGGTGAAGTCCCTTGTTCACGAGTCGGTTGGAGGTCTCTGCCAGGAGTTCCTCGCCCACTCGGAGCAGGGGACGGAGAGTCTGGGGGTGGGATCGCCGAGCCCGGCTCGATCCCTCGGCCTGGAGGCATCTGTCGATCCGTTGCCTCTGGCTTCGGGTCCGTATCATCATTCCTTCTGCTGTCACTGCCTTGTAAAGACGCATGTGTCGAGCAGAGCTGTACTCTTGTGAACTTAAGAGAATAATGTCTGAGACGCCACCACCTGTATGTATGGTCTTTATTTTGTCCTTGTAAGGAACAGTAAAGCTTTGCGGTCGGTTGTTTCATAATTGTGACTTTGTATTAATTATTTGACGCTAGCACTTTCCCGTGGTTTACGCACGTGTTGCTATTCCATGGCGGGAAGTTTAGCGTGCCACGTGGTTGAAATATTGCGTTTGAACCAACTATTTCTTCCCGCGGTCGCCTTCACGATTTTTCAATGTTTTCTACGTATCTTAGGCTGCTGGTCTGCTGTTAGCTACATGCTTGCGTTTTGCTTTCAGGCGTTTTCTTCATGTTCGGTCTGCAGGCAAAGTATCCCCCAGGCCGACCGCCATGATAAGTGTATTGTGTGCCTTGAGAAAACCGTCCACACCCCGGACACTTGCGATATCTGTATGGGTTTCTCCCCCCGGGCCCAGAAGAGACGGGCGGCCGACTTCCTATTCTATAGGGAGATGCATGAGGCGGGAGGGGAATTGACCCAGGTCCCCCCGTCCAAAGCAAAAAAGCCTAAAAGTAAAGGCAGAAAGTCGCGCAGTCAGTCGCCTTCCACTGCTCCTAGTAGCGGATTTGATATGTCTCTGATTACTCAGTTATTCCAGCAGCACATGGACTCGGTGAAGTCCCTTGTTCACGAGTCGGTTGGAGGTCTCCGCCAGGAGTTCCTCGCCCACTCGGAGCAGGGGACGGAGAGTCTGGGGGTGGGATCGCCGAGCCCGGCTCGATCCCTCGGCCTGGAGGCATCTGTCGATCCGTTGCCTCTGGCTTCGGGTCCGGACGCCGCGGCTGCCCCGGAGGGGGAGGCTTCGCTCCCAGTCCCCCTCTCGGAGTTGGCGCAGGGTCCATTGAGGATTCCTGGGGTTCCGGTCTCCTGCGCCGTCCCGCCCATGAGAGCGGAGGCACCAGTTCTGCCTGGTCTGCCTCCAGCGTCTCGGGACCGGGGTTCGTGCGTGATGGCAGGTGCTGACGCGGGGCGCTCTGTCTGTTCTTCCCTCTCCTCTGTGACTGGTGCTAGGCCATCCACCGGGTCGGGGTTCGGGTCCTCTTCGCGAGGAGACCCAGCCTCGGACTCGGGCTCGGGAGACGAGTCCATGGACACTGGGGAGGTTGAGGAGCAGGAGGGTGCCTTCCGTTTTTCGTCGGGGCCGACCTCTCGTTAACCCATCAGGCTGTAGCACAAGACGTGTGTCACTCCCAGTCAGCTCCGCTACTCGGGACCACTCACGCGCTCTTACCCAACGTCCCAGTAGGAGGCCGCCTCTCTCTATTCCTGCCGGAGTGGGAGAAGGCTACCAGCAACCCTTGGGTGCTGTCCACCGTCGGTGTCGGCCATTTACCACTGTGGAAGCGATGTCCGCCAGACTTCACCGGCATACGCAGCACTCCGGTGCCGTCATGTCAGGCAAGGGCGGACATACTGCGCGACGAAGTCCAGGCTTTGCTGGACAAGTCCGCTATCGAGCTCATACCACCGGGCGAGGAACAGGCGGGATTTTACTCCATGTACTTCCTCGTTCCGAAGAAAGACGGCGGGTTCCGTCCCATTCTCAACCTCAAGGGGTTGAATCGCATGCTCGAAGTTCCATCCTTCAAGATGGAGACATTGCGCTCGGTGATCTCCTCTGTTCAGGATGCATTACCAGTTCACGGTGCTCCCCTTCGGCATATCCACTGCCCCCAGGGTGTTCACCAAGCTCATGTTAGTCCCGGCTACCCTCGCTCGCTCGCAAGGACTGACTGACTGACTGAGTTTGGTTTTACGCCGCTTTTAGCAATATTCCAGCAACATCCGGGCGGGGACACCAGAAATGGGCTTAACACATTGTGCCCATGTGGGGATTCGAACCCGGGTCTTCGGCGTGACGAGCCAACGCTTTAACCATTAGGCTACCCCACCAGCCCCGCTCGCAAGGAAGGCGTTGTTACCCTTACCTCGACGACTGGTTGCTCGGTGCACTAACACAGCCAGCGAGCCTAGATTCTACTCACAAGGTGATAGACATTCTAGTTCGACTGGGGTGGATCATCAACCTCAAGAAATCCGACCTGGTACCCACCCAGGACTTGGTTTTTCTTGGGGCGAGGTTCCAAACACACAAGGATCTTGTTTCCTTGTCGCCCGACCGGGTCACCAGAGTACGGGAGATGGTGTCTTCGTTCCTCTCCCAGCCCCAGGCACCAGCACGGACTTGGCTCCGTCTACTGGGCCATATGGCGGCGACGATCTCTGTAGTGTGGCGGGCGCGGTTGAGGATGCGCCCTATACAACAAGCTTTGGCGAGTCTGTGGGCTCACTCGGAGGACCTGGAGCGGAGTCTCACAGTCCCCGGGTGGTTGTCTCCTCACCTTCAGTGGTGGAACAATGTCGGGAATCTCACCAGGGGGGTCCCCTTGGAAATCCCGACGCCAGCTCTTACAGTTCAGACCGATGCGTCCCTCACGGGCTGGGGGGGTGTTCTGGGCAGTCTGTCGGTGTCCGGACTCTTCACATCAACGTGTTGGAACTGAGAGCTGTGCGGTTGGTTTTCGAGCGCTTCCGAGAGCATGTCCAGGGCCAGGTGGTTCGTCTTCAGTTGGACAACCAGACGGCCATGTACATCCTGAAGCAAGGCGGCACAGTGTCCTGAGCCCTCCTCCGGGAGACATGGGACTTTCTCCTCTGGTGCGACCAGTGCGATTGTAAGGTACTCCCTGTTTATCTCCCGGGTCTGGAGAACGTGCGAGCAGACGCTCTCTCTCGCCGGATCCTGGCCCCGCACGAGTGGATGCTCGACCGGCAGATATTCGGAGTTATCTCCCAGTTGTACGGGTCGTTCCAGGTGGATCTGTTTGCGTCCGGCGGGACGAATCAGACACCCGTGTTCTGCTCTCGAATCACCGGACCTCGAGGGCGTTGGCTGCCGACGCCTTCATGCTGGATTGACGGGCAAAGTGCTCTGAGCGTTCCCGCCGTTACCACTCATTCCCCGTGTCCTCTCACAGCTGTCCACCCAGCCAGCTCGGCTGCTTGTGCTACTGGCACCGCTTTGGCCGTCACAGAGCTGGTTTCCGTAATTCTCAGGTTTCTGGCTCAGCCTCCTGTTCTATTACCTTTGGCGACCGGACATTCTCACTCAGAACGGCGCCACACCCCAATCCAAGGATTCAGTGGGTGGCTTGGCCTCTGTCAGGTCTAACCTCGGCACGCTGAATTCCTGCAGCAGTTGCAGACACAATTCTGGCTTCGAGGCGGATTCGGCAAACGCTCAGTATGAGGATAGGTGGTCCCGCTATGCGCGCTGGTGTTCAGATAGGGGATTGCAGATCCCTTTTCTGCGGATTTAGTCCGAGTATTGGAGTTTTGCAAGCCCGCTTGGAAGAAGGCCTGGCGGCTTCACCATTCGCGGGCTACTCCACCGCTATTTCCACCTTTCACACCCCTGTCGATGGTGCTCTTCTGGGGCAGCACCCTCTCGTGATAGCTTTTAGCTGGCGCGGAGCGGGTTCGACCTGCTGTCAGGCGAACCAGCCCACCTTGGGATTTGTCAATTGTGCTCGATTGGCTGTCCGGTCCCACTTTCTCACACCTATCGGCTATTTCCATTCAGTTGTTAACTTGGAAGGCTGTATTTCTGGTGGCGGTAACATCTGGCCGCAGAGGTCGGCGATTTACATGCTATGTCGTCCGACCCGGCGCTGACTGTGTTTCACACTGATCGTGTCAGTATTTGCCTCCCGGATACTTACCGCCCGAAGGTCGATCACGCTTTCCATGTGACAGCTCCTATCGAACTTCCCACTCTTACCCAGCCTTCCACATCGGGGACCTCTGCAACGAGCACTCACCCGTTGGATGTCCGCAAGACACTCAAGGTCTATTTCAAACGAACACGAGGGATCCGTATGGGTACCCATCTGTTCTGCTGTTACGGTGGCAGGAAGGCTGGGCTGCCGGCGAGCAAGCAGACTTTGTCTCGCTGGCTAGTCTCGGCTATTTGTGCTGCGTATCAGGCTAAGGGCAAGCCTCCCCCTGAGGGGTTGAAGGCTCACTCGGTCAGGGCAGTAGCCGCATCAAAAGCTTTTGCATCGGCACTCCCCATTGAAGAGATCTGCTCTGCCGCTATTTGGAGCCGGCCTAGCACGTTTATTCGGCACTATCAGCTCGATACACATTCCCGTAATCGTGCGAGCTTTGGCCGTTCTGTTCTCTCCAGTGGACAGTGTCCTGCCACCCTGACCGAGTGAGTCTTGGTTCATTGGTTTTGTTGACGCTGCTGTTCAATACTGTGTTTTTATTGACCTATCCGCTGTTGGGTGTATAACCTCCTTTCGATCCTCTTCGGAGATTCTGGTCGGTAGTGAGCGTTTTTTCCCCCCTCCTACGGTGCTCTCTAATCGACACAAGGTGGGTGGGGTTTTTGTTTACATTCGCACCATGTGCGAATTCTTATGCTAACCTGCGAGGTCGTCTCTGGGTACAATTCCTCCCTGTCAGTTACCCTCCCATAATGCCTCTCGCGGAAGCGCAAACCGGGACATGTGACAGGTGAGTGATTATGGCGTCTGTTACATTATTCAATTAACGATCGCTATTTGTGTGTGCTTTGACAGAATTCCCTCCTCCCTGGCCTCCGGTCTTTGGGAGTCTGTGTTTATGCATAATATGTACCCCAAGGACGATCTCTATGAAAAAGAATTAACCAAACCTGAAGAGGTTTTAAATTCTTTGAAGAGAGTCGTCCTTGGGGTAGGGCCTCCCGCCTCCCCGCAATTCTGTTCACTGATTTATTCAGCAGAAGGAATGATGATACGGGCCTAGGTGCTTACCCAGTTGGTGCGCATGCGCAACGGGGAGGTAACTCCACGAGGTGGGGGCCGTATAATAAATAAAAGATTTTATTTATTGTACAATATTTTTATTCAAAAACATTGATACAACTGTCACAGGACATTTTCAGCTTGGAAAATGCATAATATGTACCCCAAGGACGACTCTCTTCAAAGAATTTAAAACCTCTTCAGGTTTGGTTAAGTTTTACACTATGCTCAAATGTACGCACAACTGTAGAGAATGGACGCAGAAAACGTTTTTTGCTCCATCCAAAGGGACGCTAAATGTACGCACAACTGTAGAGAATGGACGCAGAAAACGTTTTTCACTCCGTCCAAAGGGACGCTTAATATTAGTCATTGTACCCACAACTCATCTATGACTTTTGGTGTTTCTATCAGAGCAGTTACATGCATCATTTCATCCCTCAGTCCACATGATCAATGATTCATTCCAGGCTCTATAGAAATGATCAAAACAAACAGTTCTCTGAACCGCTACTTCACAAGACTCACATTTTACCTGCAAGGATTCTTGAAACTAATAATTAGGGGATCCCGGAGCCCCCATGTTTGTGAGTCGAGGTAAAACCTTGCAATGTCAAAGAACCAAAAGTGCAGTAGTCAAACTCTGCCCTGAATTGCACCAGTCTGGCCGGCTATGTTATCTGGCTGACTCTTGTTTTCATGTAGACTTTCAGTTGAAGCTGAGTTGTATTTGGTGATTGCTTTGCTTACAGAGAGATCAGATTCCCCTATATACGAGAGCCAGGATGAAGATATTACAGCTCGAAAGGCATCTGGGTGAGAGTAATGATTACTCTAGTAAATTTTCATGACCTTTATCCCTTTTTGGGATTCCTTGTGGGATTTAATCCCGTCATCCTGTGGGGGCGGTGGGGTAGCCTCGTGGTTAAGGTGTTGGCTTGTCACACCGAAGAACCTGGTTCATTACCCACATTGGCACAATGTGTGAAGCCCATGTCTGGTGTCCCCCCGCCATGATGTTTCTGGAATATTGCTAAGGGCGACATAAAACTAAACTCACTCACTCACTCATCATCCTGTGTTGACTATAGACTGAGTGGTTGGTCAGACTCAGTGATCATTCATATTGTGTCATGTGTTCAAAATGCTGGTAGATAATGATTTGGACCAGTATTAATGTTACGAAGAAAGACCAGCCGTGTAGTTAAAAAGCCCAAATAATTTTTGCATATTACCACGGACCATGACTGTGAAAAATGTGCTAAACTCTATCAGCATTATGTTTTCATGTGACTTCTCTCCTTCAAATCGACTTTGTCAGTTCACTTTGATTTAACAGAAACATGAGACCTACAGTAAGTAAACGAATCCAAACTTATTAATATTTGATTGTTTAATTCTATCTATGAAAGATATTATTTTTGTCTACAAATTTATAATGTAAAGGAAGTGAGATCTTAAAATGTATCTGAAAAATACAGGTTTATATTCCTCTGATATTGCATAAACGAGAGGTCACACTAAGTTTGACTTGATATGGTATACCACAGGGCTGCAAATAATGTTTGGGGGTGTGGGTGTACTTACACCTCATATTGCAAGTGGAGGTGTACTGAGCATTTTGAAGGAGTACTGACATGTTTTTGTGTGAGCGAGTTGGTGATTTGGTTTGTCTGGACGATTCATCGATCACTATTTTCAACCATGCATGTATTTGTATTTGAAGACGAGTGAGAAATAACTGAGCAACCGTGTGATGCGCCGGGCTGACTGGATATAAATAGGAACAGTGTTATTTTTAGCCAATCGAAAAATAGTGACGCATATCGTTGCATGGCAATGTAAGGGATTCCCACTGCTGGGGTTTCCTCATGCGTCAAATCGCGTTTCGCAAAAGAAATTCTTGACAACAAGTATTTATCCGAAATAGATTTCCATTTGCACGATACGCACAGACATTAAATGTTAGACATACAAGGGTATTTATGTCGCACTTCATTGATTTTGAGGCGTACATTACGCCTGTACGCGCCTTATCTGTAGCCCTGATACCAGGATAAAAGCCTATTCAGTTTCTGTTGAAAGAGTGACAGTATCGTTCATTAATGTGTGTCCAAGGTCATGGGGACTGAGCGTTGTCTGTCTTCAAATTGTGATTTCCTTCATACTGCTTGTGTTGTAGGAGTCGTCAAAACTTGCAGAAACTGTTCCCCCCGACACTATCTCAGGATGAGGAGACTGACCAACAAGGTATGTTGTATTGAACATTTCTGGAACCAAAACATGTAAGATTGTCTGGCTCACATATCTGTGCCTCTATTTCAGCTGTACTGGACATCAGATTATCTGTCACTCGTCTTCTTTTTCGGGAAACCATTGTGAATGTCATACTTCACATATTTGTTCTCATCATTGATGACATATCAATTTGTGCAAGAGGTTCATGTCTTCTTTGAGTAGCATTATTTAGAAGTTGGAAAGTAATATACGGAAAACTTTATGGATGAACAGCTTCTTTGTTCAGGTGATGCGATGTTTCGATAGAGATTCTTGTATCATTGTCAAGCAAGTATGAGTGACAACGTGCTTGACAACGATACAAGAATCTGTATCTAAACGTTGCATCACCTGAATAAAGAAGTTGCTCATCCATAAAGTTTGTCTGTATAGGTTCATATCTGATTCACCATGGCTGCTGAGGCAGTGAAATTGCAAAAGCTATATATGGTTAGTACACTGTGTGTGAAGAAAGTTGGTTTCTTACACACCTGCACTGTGGGTGAGAAACCCATGTGATTGTTGTTGTTTAACGCCACTCTCAGCAATATTTCAGCTATATGGCGGTGGCCGAAACCCATGTGAAAAACTGTTATCAAAAGTGTGAGATTGATTTCCATGCCTGTGATTGGTTACTCCTTGGTGATGACCTCAGGTCGGGTATGATAAACTACTTTCCTGATGAAAAGTCATTGATAAATTACTCATGCTTTCAATTGACCGCAAACCTCTTACTTGTGCCAAACACCTGATATGTTTATATTAAAGTCTATGCCAAGAATATATATCTAGTTTTTTTCTAATTCCCTTTATCGTTTGCACCTTTAGATTCTAGTCATGAATTCAGAAGTGATACCTGTGTAAACGATAGAGTAATGGTCGCATGGTTCCCTTTGAATGTAAAAATGTACAACATTGGTAATTTTAGTGGAGAGATGCGACAGGTATCATATTGCAAATATACCTGACATGACAATGTCAGTGCCTGTACACAGTGAGATCGATTTGCCTCGTTTCATTGATGAAATGATGAAAGGGTCATTTTCATCGATAAACGTCGTGATACTTTCGATGAAGATCCATTTCCAGTCTCTGAGCTACTAATTGATTATTCCTATATTAGCAAATTCCCTCCTGACAATCAGAACAGAAACACACATGGTACTTGAGTACAAATGGCAACACATCCTTTCGAATAAATCCCACATGTACATCCACGGTACACACACATCACTGCTCAAAATATTCCTCTGACCAATAATATGGAACTTTCATGTCTTCATAACATGCAGAGTGTAATCAACTTTTATTTCATCCTTGCAAAACCATAACATACCCGGTACCTAGTGGCTGTTTCGGGTTCTGGGAAAACAAGAAGGTTGTGGCAAAGAAGAGCACTCCCCCAATGATAATGTAACATAGCCTCAGCAATGTTACATTCAAGCACACAGATTGTGCTTAATTTCAGACACTCAATATTTTTGGCTCTGGTCTGTGGGGTAAAATTGAACATAAATTTGCAGATCCCTCATGTGGAAAGTAATCCAGACAATCTTCCGATGACGGCATCTATATGGAAACTAGCGACACCAGCAAATATCCCAAACGATTACAATGACGCCACACTCTCAATTACTTTATGTCTGCAAGAAGTGAAATCATCCACAACTACGTGCAAGAGCATCATTTTAAAGATATTAGTTAATTTTCTTTGATCTTAACTAGTTTGCATTAACATTATCGCATTGATAATGTACAGAGGTGGCAGAAACTTTTTCCCTGAGGATCACTTTGGGGATGATCAGGATGCAAGTGACGTCACTTATTAGCATTGTCTTGTGTAGTATTGTGGCACCATGATGAGAAAATATGACATTTGAATCTATTCGACCCTAAAGTAACAAAGGATATTGTGTATTGCCACTGGGCTGTCAGCAGCAAGATATTGATGGTTATACCACTTGTTGTTCCTTTACCATATAGTGTAGCTGATAATTCACGTAAATAATACTTGACATTATGATTAAAGTAATTGCATTAAAGTAATTGCATTGGATTGCAGAACACATTGTATCCACTCCGTCAGAACATTTAAGCAGCCTGCAGTTGTCCTGTGAACCTGTGAGAGTGGTGGAGACGGTGGATGAAAGCCTGTGAGTAATTCAGTCTATAACTCATTCTTGGCTATTTTAAAACAAATATATAACCTAATAAGTTGATGTCTTAAACCTGTATAGAAATGTATTATTTTTCCTTATCCTGACTCATGCTTATTGCTTGTCTTCTTCTTCTTGCGAACATAGTGGAACACGTGTATCTCCCAATTGAAGTTCCCTTCAATAAAAAATCACTAATTAGTACTCACCACGAGTTACCTCCCTTCCACAAGCGCGGGAACGAGGGCGCCACCTCAACCCATGTGCCTCACTCTCTCCCTCTTCGCCCAGTGAGCTGGACGTGAGAGCTCTGTGTCTCCTAATACACACTATATCCTTTATTTATATTTAGTTTAGTACCTCTTATATTCAGTTATAGAGGTGTAACTAGTATCCTTATTCAACTTGCATTGATTATAAGTCGTGTTTCTGCTGTTTTATTCACGGTTTCGTGTTTGTTCAGCAGTTTACGTTAATGAGAATCTGCACAGGTTGTAAACTACGCTATTCCGCCACCGATCCACATTTAAAATGCCCTAGTTGCATTACTCCATGTTCTATTGTTTCTCGCTGTAAATTATGTATTAATTTACCAATTTCTGCCTTTGATAAATATTTATGTTCCGCTTTGAGACGGAAGGCAGATAAATCTCGCAAACAATCTTCAGTCATGGCTAATAGATCGAAAGCTAATATACACTGTCAACTGTTGACTGACGACCCGCCACTGGCTGGTGGCCTGCCTGAGTTCCCTCGGGGGATAAGCGTGGGACGCAGTCCGCTATGTCCAAGAAGCGACCTGCATCTCAAGACATTCCGTCTTCACAGTCTAAGACTAGGAAAGCGCCCACATCATCTCAACGTGACGCCAACCCCAGGTCCACAGCTTCGTAAAAGGGAAATCTCCAAAGCTACAAATAATTTTGCCTCCGATATTCTACCTGTCTCAGAATTATGTTTATATGATGATGACATTCCGATTATCATTCCAGATGTACGTCATAAGAAACGTCCAGTATCTGCTACCGTCACTACAGCGCAGATCAACACGCAACCAGAGATGCCTACGCTGACGCCGGAGTTTATGATTGAGGGTCCCGTCACTTTCACAGAGAGGCCACCCTCAACGCCAGCGCAGACCGTCCCAGACGACCTGGTCAACCAAATCATGAGACTGATGGAGGACCGTTACGGTTTACAGAGGCCCCAGAGCCACGGGCCCCAGAGCCCAACCCATAATAAGTCATACAGGGCCCCAGAGCCCGCCTTGGCTTCGCGTAGGGCCCCAGAGCCCACAACTTGCTTCCCCATCGAAGAACGAGAATTCAACTCAGACTTACCTGATGAAGGATGATGATGTAGACAATATCACCTTACCTCCTATTGACCCGATTGCAGCGGTACCAGCTAATCAGGATACAGCCTGTTCCAAATCTTCTAAAGTCCAATCTACAAGAAATTTGCTGGACACAATATGGACCCCTTTTTCAAGGCCCAGGATATTGATGACAACTTTAAATTAATCAGTGGTGCCAAGTCCAGAAGTTACAGAGTAGACGATCGCAAATTGGCCCAATTAGATACTATCTCCAGGAGAATGTTCTTTGGATTGAATAGATCTAGAACTATTAATGAAACTCTCATCACCAAGTTCAAGAATTCTACAGAGGAGGAAGATAGAATGATCTACTCAGCTCTACTCATGCAGAAAAGAGACCACCAATTTCTTACAGAGCACCTGTCAGCGCTTACTGAAACTACTACCATGGCTCGTCGGCAAGGCTTACTAGCCTCCTGCTCTTGGGATAAGCAATTCACAGAATCTCTATACACAGCTCCATGGTCATCGCCCTTACTGTTTGGTGGCAACATAGACAAGGTCTCCAAAGAAGTATCTAAAGACTCGAGAGGTACTTATGATCAGATCCATGGATACCTTAGCTTAACGCCATTAAACAGTCAGCACAGAGATACTCGGGCAAGTCTAAGTTTTCGGGCTACAGAAAGCACGGGACAAGAAATTAGCTGCAGCTAAAGATCCCAAGGATTCTTTTCATCGCCCATACAGCAAATTTAGGGGAGGATCAGCTAGAGGCAGATCATCCAGAGGTGCCCGTGGATTTAGACGATGAAATTCAGGTTCGGAACGACTGGAGTCTTCCACCCCCAGCCGTTCCAGTACAACCTTCTCAAGTGGGTGGACGCCTTCAGCTGCACTGGGAAAACTGGGGAATACTACAAGATCCATATGTATCCAACATCCTACAGCACGGATATCTAATACAACTTAAGGCCAAGCCTCCGTTAACAGTCACCCCTACAGGGTTCAACGTTCAACCGGCACAACTACCTATGTTAAGAGAAACAGTAGCTACTCTGCTAAACAAACAGGCCTTAGAAGTTCTGGATCAACGAAACATTGTACCAGGTTTCTACTCCACAGTTTTCCTAGTGCCGAAGAAAAATTCCAAGGAGAAGTTTCATCTCATATACAACATGAGCATCTTGAACAGAGAATATCTATGCAAACCACCAACGTTTCGCATGATACACTTACCGCAACTTCGCATTTAATTCGTCCCCAAAGATTACATGGCCAGCATAGATTTGCAAGACGCATATCTACACATTCCGATTCATCCCAACTCAAGGAAATATCTAAGATTTATCCTAGACGGGAAACATTACCAATGGAAGGTTCTTCCCTTCGGAATCACATCGGCCCCTTGGGTATTCACAAGAGTGACCAAGCCTATTGTCTCATACCTACATCGTCAAGGTCTTCGCAGCGCTTTTTACCTAGACGACGGTATACAAGTGGATCCAGATCCACAGCGTCTCAGACTACAGCTGAACTTTATAATCAAGCTACTAACTCAATTAGGATGGTTAGTAAATCTACTCAGGTCGGACCTAGAACCAACGCAGGATCTGCAATTTCTAGGTATACGATTTCTAACAGCTCAGAATCGTATTGTAGTCCCGGAGGACAGATGGATCAAGATCCAACAACTTATTCCTCAAGCCCTACTCTCTCCGTTACCACTACGACAGTGGCAGAGCCTATTGGGACTACTCACATCAGCTCAAGACTTGACAGTCAGAGGCAGGCTTCAATTACGTCCGTTACAAGTCCTCATCAATGCTCATCTCGAGGACCCTCTACCATTCAGTCTACCAGATTATGTCAAACCACATCTACTCTGGTGGACCAAGAGATTGAATGTTTGCTCAGGCGTCTCCTTAGTAGAGCCGGAATCGAAAACACATCTCTACGTAGACGCGTCACTACAAGGTTGGGGAGCCCACCTTGCCGGCAGGACAGCGTCAGGCCTATGGAGTGCAAATGTCACATAAATCTGCTAGGGATGCAAGCAGTCATAAACGCCATAAGTCACTGGAGCAACCTACTACAGAACGCTCGGTTGATGGTTCACACAGACAATTCAACAGTGGCGTTTTATGTGAACAAACAAGGTTCAACAAGGTCACAGAACCTACTGATTCGATGTTTCAGACTGTTCGATCTAATCGACAATCTAAACATACACGTCAGAGCTTGCCACATTCCAGGAGCAAAGAATGTATTAGCAGACGCTCTCTCTCGGCCACACCAACCGTCGCCGACAGAATGGATGCTCCACACAGAGATATTCAATCAAATAATCATGGAAATAGGATCTCCTCTGATAGACCTATTCGCCACTCGATTCAACAAGCAACTGACAACATTCGTATTGCCAGTTCCAGACCCACTAGCATGGGCAACAGACGTACTAAGCATATCGTGGGAGAGACTCAACGCGTACGCTTTTCCGCCTCCAGCGTTAATCCCACAAGTCTTACAGAAAATCAGTCAAACGCAGAGCCTCCATCTGATTTTGGTCGCGCCCTACTGGCCAGCGAGAACTTGGTTTCCAGATCTCATTCAAGAAATCAGAAAACCAATTCTTCAGCTCCCACAACGCGCCAATCTATTGATACATCCGCACACCAAACAAGTGCACGAAACACCAGAAGCATTCCAACTTCACGTATGGATTGTATCAAGGCATGTCTGAATAAGAGAGGTTATTCTGCCATAGCGGCTAAAGCGGTCACGCTTGCACTACGTAATTCAACTCGTAACTTATACAATGACAAATGGCACAGTTTTGTCAATTACGCTGCTAAGAAAGGATTTACAGCCAGATATGCTACACATCCTCAAGTGGCAGATTTCTTATGTTATCTACGTCAAACTAAGAATCTAAAAGGCTCAACCTTGTCCACTTATCTTGCAGATATAAGTTCTGTCATAACTATGAGAACGGGCGTCAAGTTAACAAAAAATCACCAGAGTTACTTTCGCTTTGTTACGAAGCGCCCGATTGGAGGATCAGAAATGGAAGTTTCACGCCCAGCCTGGGATCTAAATATAGTGCTCCAACACCTCACTAGTGAGGCTTATGAACCATTGCTATCTACATCGTTTGAATCACTGACCCACAAAACCTTGTTCCTGTTAGCACTAGCTACGGCCGCCAGGATGTCAGAGATTCACGCACTGGATTACGAGAGAACAAGCTTTGATGATATTCATAACATCGCTCATCTGGGACTTCGCTGGGATTTTATAGCGTAAAACCAACTGCCAGGTCAACCAGACAGATTATTCCACGCCCCAGCTCTCTCATCCATACTTGGACCGCATGATACGATGGATCTATCACTATGCCCAGTAAGAGCACTGAAAATATATCTCCAACGATCCAAACAGAGCAGAGGGAAATTCAAGAGATTATTTATCCCTATATCTACAGCTACGCAGACGGAAGTCTCAGGTACTACTATCTCTATCTGGATCAGAACTGTCATACTACGTGCCCTACAAGGCTGCAGGACTCGACCCTCCAAGAGCTTCTAATCCTCACGAAATTAGAGCTAGCCTCAACTCTCGCTTCTACATGGGAATTGCTCGTTGAATACCATAATGGAGGGATGTTTCTGGAGATCCGATATGGTGTTTGCCAACCACTATCTGAGAGATATCACCACCGAGGACGCCTCAGGTATCCACCATTTCGGGTCCCATGGTCCTCGCCAACAGTTGACAGTTCCACGGAGAAGATAAGTCTATCTTACAGATTTTATACTTATCTGATAACAGTACTAATAGCTACATGCTATCTATATATTTTGCTTAAGTTTAATTTATTATCTTAAGCTCAGTACTATGGTTTTTATATCATACTATATATAAGCTTACAACTCCTAGGAGTTTCGCTATTATATATATGTTCAGCTTAAGTTTCATCAATCCTTAAGCTCAGTCATATGGTCATATTCATAAATGTATTAGCTAACAAACTCTAAGGAGTTGGTTACTATTATACAGCTTAAGTTATAATTATATCTTAAGCACAGTACTATACTATTATAGCTTAAATATATGCATATCTTAAGCTTAATACTTTGGTTCATTTATAAAAGTATCCACTATAAACTCACAGAAGTTTATACTATCACATTAATAGCTTCAGCTTACATTAATGTTGTATATACTTTTATCATATTCAGTAAATTGTAATAACCTTTATATGGCAGCTGATAAGTTAAGCAGCAGGAATTCATCAGTTCAGTGCCTTTATGAAGTTCCCATAGGGTTATTACAATCATCACAGTTCAAATCACTAATTATTAAAATCCAAAGTATATATATTCCCACCTCCTTTTCCGTCGGATTCTACAAGCAATAAGCATGAGTCAGGATAAGGAAAAATATGAAATTTTTAGAGTAAAATTAATATTTTATACTTATCCTGACTCATGAGGTAAGCTCCTCCCGTCCCCTCCCCACTTAACACTTTGGATTTCTTCGAAAAATAAAGTGTCGGGCTCGAAACAAAAGGAGAGAGTGAGGCACATGGGTTGAGGTGGCGCCCTCGTTCCCGCGCTTGTGGAAGGGAGGTAACTCGTGGTGAGTACTAATTAGTGATTTTTTATTGAAGGGAACTTCAATTGGGAGATACACGTGTTCCACTATGTTCGCAAGAAGAAGAAGACAAGCAATAAGCATGAGTCAGGATAAGTATAAAATATTAATTTTACTCTAAAAATTTCATATTTCACATGCAGAGTGCGATATTTGTACATACACACTATTTAAAATCAGGGATTGATTTCACTTTATCCAGGCTGCACAAGTGCAGGTAAAATATTGCTAGTGCATTCTCTCAGACAACAGGTAATGTGAACTTTCCTGGAGATACTCTGCTGGTGAAGAATCGTCTGCTGTCAGTGACAGGAATACAGGATTGTTGATCACAGTGCAGCCAATATTTTGATGGTGCAGTTTTATTAATCCAATTACTGGCAAATAAGGATAAGTTGGACTGGCGCAGAGAACGCATTTACGAGACGTAGGCAGTGCACAACAATGAGCAAACCCATTTGGTTTGTGAAAGGTAGAGCAGATGTAGGCTAGTGCACTTGCATTGCATGACAATGAAATTGATTCAGTGCGTAGCTGCACACGCCCTTGCGCCTTGCTTCACCCATCACACTACTCTTGATTGCGGACAACCTAGGGCCCCTTCACTAACAATGGCAAGTGCCAGTGGGTGGCACTCATTCATGCTAATACGGGTTGGTCAGGTTCATGCTCAACTTATCCTTGTTTGCCAGTAGCTGCACCTCGTGCAGGTAGAGAAAAGAACTGAAATCGTACCCTGAGAATGTGGAATAAGACCTACTACTAAGTTTGTGCATGGGGCTCATGGTACACAGACCATTACAGTTGTCAGATATGGTGAGACATACCCTCACTGGCCTTGGTTTAGGTGAACTTATTTTCAGATTTTGTTTACAAAATGTATTTAAAAAATCCACAATATTTGTTTACAGTCAACATTTGTCATTCATGATTTATTACTCTCCAGGGACGGTGGGGTAGCCTAGTGGTTAAAGCGTTGGCTCAGTACGCCGAAGACCCGGGTTCGATTCCCCACATGGGTACAATGTGTGAAGCCCATTTCTGATGTCCCCCGCCGTGATATTGCTGGAATATTGCTAAAAGCGGTGTAAAACCAAACTCACTCACTCACTCACTCACTATTACTCTCAAGCTATTTGTTTCAGCCCTGAATGTAACTGCTACATTTGTAGAGATAGTTAGCCTAGTTATCGTGGCCAGGATGTATCTTGCATCACTGGGTCAAGCGTTTCATGCAGCACATTGATCTCGGTACTGTGTTTCTGTCTCCAGAGACGTATTGGCCCCTTCACCTGAAGCATATGGCGACATCCCCATCATCATACCAAGCTCTCCAACTGCTGGGGAGGTCGAACCAGGTGAGCTAGGGTTATCCCATACTCTGTGATAGTACTCTTTGTTACAAGGACACAGCTCACATTATCACAAAATATTCAGATATTACATCATGTGTCAATAAAGATATATGATATCACTAGGTATAATGCTTTACCACTTAAATTGTATCTACTATTCTGTTAGCATTGTTCCATGAGATTTAATCTTGAGATTAAGATTATGTGTATTTCCTTGTAAACTAAGCTGGAAATAGCAATCCATTGTTCACTTGTTATATCCTAATCTACCAATGATTCAGTCAAAACATACCCAATAAATTAACTTCGAATAATTTTGTGATCAGAAGACTTATGTCTGAGACTGTTATTAGATCAAAAACACTACTTTCCTTGCTGCTATTTCTCATATAGCAGAGTTGACTGGAAGTAGTTCCTGTTTCCAATATGATGGTCAGACATATCCATATATGGTGTATTTTATAAAAGTTCAATTTAAAGTTATTGTTAGACCACATTTTATTATGATGAAATGAAGACTGCTTCATACTAGTAGCAAGTCTAGTAGACGCCAAGTGTTTCCATCTGTCCTCATGCTTTCAACACTTCACCGTGTTAGAATTGGTCTACAGTAACCCATGCTTGTTGTAAGAGGCGACTAATGGGATCGGGTGGTCAGGCTCGCTGACTTTGTTGACACATGTCATCGTATCCTAATTGCGTAGATCGATGCTCATGCTGTTGATCAATGGATTGTGTGGTCCAGACTCAAATACTTACAGACCGCTGCCATATAGCTGGAATATTACTGAGTGTGGCATAAAACTAAACTCACTCACTTTCAACACTTGCTGTCCTCCAGATGAGTGTGCCTACAACCCAGACGCTGACAAGACACTGGAAGCCGATGACAGGGTAACTCTGTTCATGGGAATTTATGGTGATGTACAATAACATTGGCCTCAATTAAGTGGTATAACTGAATGAAAAACATCTCACAAAATATTTCATTCAGGGTTAGAATGGATGCCCATCAACCTGTTTGTCATACAAGCCAGTGGGTGATTGGCTCAGCGACTTGCTTGGTATCGTACCCCATTGATGTTCATGATATCAATCACTGGACTCTCTGATCCTAACTCCATCATTTCCTGCTGTCATCAACTAATATTGCGATGTCAATCTAAACATTAATGTATGTTATGTATGTTACTTAATCAGCAGGGGCGGTGGAGTAGCCTAGTGGTTAAAGTGTTTGCTCATGTTGGAGACCCGGGTTCGATTCCCCACATAGGTACATTGTGTGAAGCCCATTTCTGGGGTTCCCCTTAGTGGTATTGCTGGAATATTGCTAAAAGCGGGGTAAAACTAAACTCACTCTCTCACTCAATCAGACCTTCGTGGTGTAGTGGTTGGAGCATCCACCCAGAGAAGGTTGTGGGTTCAATCCCTGGCTGCGTCATACCAAAAGACCTTAAAATATGGCACTTGTTGGTCCCTGCCTGGCGCGCTTGGCATCAATGGGTAAAACAAGGACTGGTCAGCTCAGAGTCAGTATAATGTGTCTGAGTAGGGTGTTCATGCTGAACTGCAGTATGGTATCTCAGTGAGCTAGCACTATAAAACCAGTTAGTCTGAGCTAGTACAAGCAGCTACACATACACATACACACGCATGCATGTCGTCATATGAGCGAAATATTCTTAAGTATGACGTTAAACCCCATTTCACCTCACCTCACTCAATCAGCAACAAGAAATTAGTAGTAGACAGGATGGTGGTACTGGACCAGGGTAATCTAAAGCTTCATTTAATAGATGAAGCCTTAGTCGGACCCTTCCTATTACCATCTACTACAGTAATCTAAAGCTTCATCTATTAAATGAAGCCTTAGTCGGACCCTTCCCATTACCATCTACTACAAAGCTTTATTTCATAAAATAAGACTTTAGTCGGGGACCCTTATCTCTTGCCTCTATGTCGTGTTGACGGGAGGTAATACTGTGTCATACGGTACGATCAATAATTCTTCTCTCACAAACCCCCTCCCTGGCCCATCCCTCAAGTAGTACAAGTTAGGCTCTCCGGCTTTGATGTCAACTTTATCTATGTTGTAAGTTTTGACTGACCATATAGGATCGGTGGCTCGCTTACGGCTATCACCCTCGTGTTCCCCCCGACTGGTATAGATACCTAACTAGGACCCTGTCTGGTATCTGTTTCTCCTTCCCACGCAATGGAGCAGCCGACTCTGACATTATTGATTTTAATTTGATAGCGTCTGCCGGCTTTTTACCGGTGAGACGGGTGACCTCATGGTTTATTGCCGACACCACCTTAGGTAACCTCGTGACCCATTCAGTCGATCGTTTTCCAGGGGTGGCCATCTCTCTAGCATACTGGTGTCCAAATAAACGCTCAGCCAAAGTCCTATTGAATCTCTCAACTATGGCTTGGCTGCGATGGGCTCCAGCCGTACCACGCCTGACCTTTGTATCGTGTTTAGCTAGCAGTTGTGACACGGTACCCATAAACTCACGTCCGGGGTCAACTTGGAGCTCTGTTGGCCATGTCAGCGGACTGGCGTTTGTATATGCGTTCAATCCTCTGGCTACCTGGGCAGAATCTTTCGTGGTCAAGGGTTCGCTTCCTTTGTAGCGACTGGCCACATCCACGACTGTTAAGGCATACTTGTACCTCTTGTCGGGGTAGGAACAATGGTCTGCTTGGTGAACGTTATTAGGTATATTAATACCAAACTTCCTTCTAGGCACATAGCGTGGTGGTGGTAAATATATCTGCCAAAGTGCTTGTTTTTCAAGCCACGCTTTGGTCTCCTCCGAGGATACTCGCGCAATTTTAGCCAGCTTATCTACAGCGCTAGCTCCTTTCCAGTACCCAGCGGACTGTAGTAAATAGCCTCAAATTTTTTCTGGTTCCGTGACATGTCACCATTTATTTATACCTATGTTCTTGGTTCAATTTTCTCATGTCCATACGCCGTGCGTGTTTATCCCATCAATGGCTATCCAACGTTTAGTGTCCATAGGTGATAATGATGTTTTATTTATAGTCAACCCAGTATATCCTATGCCCATCACTTCTAAGTGTGTTCATTTTATGTTTAAAGGTGCGGGTCTTGAACAGGGCTTCCTTGAATCTGGTGTGTTTGATGTGTTGTTTCACCACGTGCTTCTTAACACCCTTAGCTTTCGGATCTCACCATTGTCGGCCTTCAGTATGGGAGTACATCTTAGGCCTCAACCCTATGTACTCGGCTATGGAAGCGCCAGCACACTCGTCCTTCATCTTACCTAGGACCTTTTATTCACCGTGCTGTGTATGGCATGGTCCTTAGGGGTAGTCGCTGGTGTCGTACAAATCGAGGTGTTTTTCATGTCATCGCATTACCGTCCTCGGTTCGAATCTCCATCAGCAGGAATCCGTGTCAGTATATAGTACTTCACACCTGTCATCGTACTGTTTCTTCAGCTCGTTGTAGTAAAAGTCGTACATCAAGTGTTTGGATAAATCGAGGATGCTCATCCCAACGTAAACAGGTCGGTTTAATATTATGTGACTTTTCTTCATGTGTATGGCAGCCAGGTCGTTATCGAATATCTTACTACGGTTGAATGCAGGGTTAGCGATCAGCTTCCTGAGTTTGTCCTCCTCATTCGACCGAACCAGCTTCACGGTCACGCGTTTCCTCAGGTTCTCCATCGTCTTACCGAATACCGAGTTGTTCATGAGCTTATACAAGTTTTTCTCAAAGTCACTGGTGGCCAGCTTTCGCAGGTCTGTGTTCATTCTGATGTAAGGCTCCATCCAGGGGCTCTGGTTGAACACGAGCACCCTGTGTATTTTGGTCAGTTTCATACCCAACGACAGGTACAGCTGCAGGTTGCGATAGTGAACTATGTACTTGGTCTTATTCATTAAGTTAGGCACGAGTTTTCAGCGCCCGTCACCCAGCCTATCTAACAAGTTATGTTGGTATTCAGACATCCAGTCTGGGTTAACCCTCATCGTTAGGGAGCTAGGGGTAGCTGTTGTGTGATTAGTGTAATGCCTTGGGGTATTCAAGTCAACCTCGAGGATATAACCTTTGTTCGAATCCGGTAGCGATGCTCATAATGTCAAATCGGATGATACCCATTCGAATCCCCTGTTGGTAGATACTGACTCATAGCCCATCCGTACAGGTTATTTGCGGCGTCGAGATAGAGAATGTGATTGGTTGGCTTGCTAGGGTGGTAGCCCTTCCGCATTGATTATTTGCTTTGGCGTATCGTTTGGTTACCATGGAGATCCCACCTCATAAACCTTTCTCAATGAACAGGTGCATGTCATAATCAGTAAGCAATTCCAACTTAACTCCGGTCTTTTAAGCAAGGCATCCCACGACAGACCTGGGCTGGTGTAATACCATGCTGGATCTAGTTTATACTGATTGAAACACGTCCTCCTAAATGTCTCAAATCGCCGGCTAATAGTAGTACATCCATCTTCAAGTACAGATCGTGATAATCACCCAGGTTTTACAACCAAGTTTATTCCATACGTTAATCGGCGTCGCGGTAAATGTCGTCTTGGGATATTTCGAAGTCGGTCAGATTGCTGTAAAATTCTCTGATGGGGGTAGTCTGGTCTCGGCGAACTTGACCCAACTATCCATGTACTCATAGGGATACACACCTTTCCTCATAAGCAGAGATCTAGTCTCGGCGTCTGTGTATCGATCGGTGATAGGGAAGGTATCGTTGGCTTTAATCAAGCTGGCTAATGACGACAATAGAAATTGACACGAGTCAATGAACCTAAGTCCGTCTAAGCTGAAAGAGAGATATTTCTCCATGTTGTTGGGGATGCCGCGTTATATTACCATCGATTTTCGCGATGGCCTGCATGATTAAGTGAGAGTCGTACCCTCTCAAGTTGTGAAAGACAACGGGAATGTTTATTGTCTTAGGGTTGATTCTAAGCTTGAGGTTACACTCGTTATGGCGGCGCCTCTATACTTACGGTTATGTGACAGTGATCTCTCACGAATCACCGTTCAGTGGTGAGTCACACACGTGACAGTTAATGCTACGAGGAGTGAGCTAGCCTGTCGGCTCGGGTCATACGCATGGGATCGATTCTATGCAACTTTTCCCTAATAATTTCTTCTTCCTCCTTCAAACACTTTAGAAACCTTTCAACCGAAGTCGGGACCCTGTACACTCACGGGGAGCTTTACGTTTCCCGTCTAGCGGACGACTCACGTATCCAAACCCACATGCTTCATGCTCTTGTGTTTTGTATGTGAAGCTCTCACCTGTGGGGTATCCTCAACAACCTTAATTGGTTTGATCAATGCTTCAAAGTCGGTATATATATATAAGGCACGGACATTTGGTGCTTGTGGTTGTAGAATTTTAGGATATTGTCACCTTCCTCGGGCATGTCGATGCGTTATAGCCGTCTGTCCCACACCTTGACAATACTCCTGGTGGGATTCTAATAAATCAGCTCGGCTGAAACCGTGCAGACATCGTACAAAAGTGTTTTTCCCACCGTGTTTCGACTGGTCGGTACAACAACCGACTGAAATGTTTTATCCACGTGTAGTGATACTTTTCACCTCGTTGGATCATAAATATATTGATAACGTTTCCCCACCAACGAGCTGAGTCTGTGTATTATTGTTGTGTAGTCTTAGTGTCCAAAGACATTTATAGCTAGATTATTCTGTTTTCTACTTTAGTGATCTGAGATATGGTGGTTGGTTCATCTATACCATCCCAGTTGAGTCCATCGTCTTGGGGATAACTAGAAGGCCTGTTCGAATGAGTGTCAGCTGGAAACAAGGCTGATCTGATAGCTAATCTCAAGCAATCGTTTCCTCTATTCTTGACATTGACTATGGCCTT